ACCCCATGGTACGGGGTAAATGTAAAAAACGGTTCTAAAGTGCAATACAATTATATAGAAAAACATATGGGGCAATTGTAAATACATATTTGGTTTCTCTAAAATTTGATATGCTATTTATTTCAAAAAATAACAGAGCTACAAAATGATAAAGAAAAAATAAGAAACAAACCCTGTCTAATGCACAAAAGAACTATAAAAATAATAAAAACATTAACATAATAGGTAAAAATATTACATTTACCCATAGACCTATTAACTATGGACGCGGTTTAGACAAAGAGGTAGTGTTGTCGATGAATGAGAGGGATGCAGTTAGTTTGGGCATATGGCAATGAGAGATTGGACAATGCATTAGCCAATAGTAAGAAAGCAAAAGACCACGTGAGTAACGTTTTCAGAAATGCAAGGTAGCTGGGGTAGAGGAGGGTAGATTATGGTAGAATAGGGTTGAGGATTTATTATTTTTTTACCGAGCAAAATGCATTTTTCAGCTGAGCCTAAATTCCCACGCATTTGCAAATACAGTTCTTATTTTGTATTGTTAATTGGAACCTCCTACCTATTAGCCAGTACAGATTTTGCAATTGTTGGAAAATTTTTCGCGCATAATAGGGAAATCAATGTTAAATTCTTAGCCGGCTGAAATCCAGTCTACCAGTATACATTTCAATAGAACGTCGCGATGTATTCTAATAAATTTAATTGTTCTACTGGACTTCACACCGCGCTTTGGCTTGGTTAGATTAAAAATCAAATAATTTCAACGGTTTCGACACTTCGACAGTATCAAAACGGGTTCGGATGGGTGAACGTCGAGTCGATTACAAAGAATTGAGAATTTTTAAACGATAATTTATTGAAAAAATATCACTAATAATAAAATAGAATTATGTAGATATGTCTTTTTGCCACAATGGCTTGAAAAAGAAAGTAAATTCTAAGAAAATAATAAAAAGAATACTCCAAAAATAAACTTAAAGATTATTTTAAAATAGAAAATAAAATTACTCTAAAAAATAGTCCACCGCTTTCTGCTAAACAATAGCCAAACCTGTCATACAGATGTCATCTCATATTACTGAGCTGAGGTGTAATTATAAGAAAATTGAATTATTTTTCCTTATTTTTCCTTATTTTAACAAGATTTGTTGCTATTTCAAAACTGTACCTACCGATACACACATTTTTTTTTAAATATCCCCAAAAAACCTATTAATTGTAAATTTCTAAATAACTTTGTACCTCTACAAATCGCGGCGTGCGGTCCAGTAGAACAATTAAATTTATTAGAATTGATCGCGACGTTCTATTGAAATGTACACTGGTAGATTGGATTTCAGCCGGCTAAGAATTTAACATTGATTTCCCTATTATGCGCGAAAAATTTTCCAACGGTGTATATTAAGCGTATAAATAATTTAACAGATTAATCGCCTTTTCCCACACACCCTGTATATATTTTATATATTTTTTGGTCCCACCTACTTTTAAGCCAAACTAGCTCCATCTCTCACGGACCTCTCTCTCTATCATTGGGAACGCTGAATAACCTCAAAATACCGATTGTGCCGCGTCCATACTTAATAGGTCTATGCATTTACCCCATTTTTACATTTGCCCCAGTCTATAACCTTATTCAATTCCTCCATCCATGGGAAAAAACTTAAAACAGTGGACTTACTATCTATGCTGCAATTAACAAAAGTTTAAAATTTGAATTGTAACTAACATTAACAAAATTGTCTTATCTTTTTTAAAAATTATGTTCATCCATTCTTCTCATTGTATTCAATTCCTCTCCAACTATTCCAGAAAAATGTGGACTTATAGGTACCAACTACCAATGGTAGAATTAATAAAATGTTCATAAAGTTGAACTAAAACTAACAATTAAAAAGCTATTTTCTCCTTATTATTATATTATTCACCTATTTTTCCATTCTATTGAATCCCTTCTTCAATTCCAAAGAAAAAAATGGACTTATTATCTACCAGCAGTGAAATTTGTTAAAATTTGCAAAGTTTTGTTAAAATATAAACTGAAACTAACATAGAAGTACAAAATTTTTATCATTTTTTATCTATTCTTCCCAATATCTCTGTATAAAATTTGTCCATCATTACTTCCAATGGTGCAATTAACAAAATATTCAAAAGAATAATACCAAATAATTTTCCATCTACCTAATTCATTCAATATAGTAAAATAGAGAAGATGAAAAACAACTATAATTTATATCAAATATTATTATGATATTAATTTCTTCGAAGAAGACAAATTATTATACCAACTATATCATTATTTAATAGGTAATATAAAATATAACATACAAACAGTTGCGCGAAAACTGTTTGAATTCGCCGAGGAAATCCCTAAAAGTTTTATTGCCCCGCTCGTAAATTAAAAACGTTTTATCGCCGATAAAAAAATCGCTCTTCTTACATTTTAATCACAAGCGTAATTTCGCCCAACTATAAATTAATACGAAAAATATACCGTAGTTATCGTTACTTGTCAGGACTCGTAACAGTAAAAAAAATATGTTATATTTATATTTGTTGATTCAATGGCGTTGCCAATTCGTAAATTCATATTTTTTCTATTCAATATTTTCATTATAGGCCGTTTTATTAGAAAAGTGAGCTGCTTTAATGAGAAAACTATTCAAGAAACCATCCAAAAAACCTTTAAAGAAATATCTGTAAACTATAATCTAGGTTCAAAAAAAATTAATTGGTAAATACAATTAACCCCTTTCGAAAAACCATTAGCGCTTCCCTGGCGCTAACGTGTATTAAGTGAATTAAATCCCAATCGGGCCGTTTGTTTTGTTGTTTTCTTCGGGTAAAGGGATCGTAAAAAAGGCGATTTGCAAACGGCTCAATTAACGAGGACCGCACCCGTTTTTATTTTTAACGCCGGATTACGGTTCCCCGAAAATTCAACACGTCCACTGCCGGGCAAAAAAATTCCTTGAATTCCCCGTATAGTAATATTTTTTTGAAAATTCCTCGGTAGAGGATAACATTCTCGCACTTTAAATTAGTTACATTATTACAGTAGGCAGTATCTTGTTCGAGTATCCGCTGGAATAGTATGAAAATACTTTTAGTGAAATAAAACGGTCGAAATGAAATTTCAAGTTTCTCGACTCGTACGGTAAAACTCGTATCAATTTTCTGAAATTACGCAATCCCAAAGATTCTTTGAATCAATTAAAACGCTATTTTAGCAAATATCGCCTCATCGGTACAACTTTATCAGCTAATTTATTGTACAGGATCTCCGTTTAAAAACAGAAAGACGCGAGATAATAGGATGGTTTTTTTTTCAGTGATTTTTTTTTGCTCTTCTCTTATTTTTTTCGACATGAAAGTAAACGTAACGGTAAAGACGTGCGGATTAATGTATTTGTTGAAAATATTTCCATAAAAATCGGAAACTTATGGTATTTTTTTTACTTAATTTATTTAATTTTTATCATTATGGAAAAACACTTTATCTTTAATCTTCCATCTACTATCTTATTTTTTGTTGAATTTTAATATTTAGGTCATTGAAAAATTAACATTCGAGTGTACAAAATTTTTAATTTGAACCCTTTTGAATGTTTCTATGCCGGTCCTGTTGTGGGTGATCGACGAATTTTTAATTGGCGTCTAATTAATCCCGCTGGGATATTTGTTTACATGCATCAGAAGCCTCGTGTATGGTTTACAGTTAAAATGGTCGTGTTTCTCTCAGTCGGATTCGACATTTTTACGAATTTTAATTACTCGCTTAATAATCGATAAGTATTCGATTAATCATCCTCGAGTTCGAGCTACCTATTGTCGCCCGGCGAATAAATTAGAAATAAAAATATACCGAAATTATGTAGATGTGCGTGCGTTTTTTTTTGGAATATTTTCGGTGAAATTTATCGGCGTGGAATATTCGATAATATTTTCGTATAATTGAATAATTAATTATTGGAAATATGTTTTAATCTGTCATAGCGCTGCTAAAATTTTGAAAATTGTATTCGTGAATTTTTCAGGGATAGTGTTAACATTAATTGGAGAAAAAATGGTTAAAAAAAATCAAAAAGAAAGCTGCATCGGCCGGGAATCGAACCCGGGCCGCCCGCGTGGCAGGCGAGCATTCTACCACTGAACCACCGATGCTTGTTATTATGAGTCTAAATATCAGTACTTCAAGTAAATGGTATGACATTTGATGTAATTAGTGTTGCCTAACTTTCAGAATAAAACGAAGAGTACCATTGTTTTTATCATAACAATATTCTATGGTGCCGGTCTAATACGCGGTCTGCATTACCTCATCTTGTTTAGTATGAGGTCTTCAAAGTATTTATTACAAAGTAAAACAACGGGTTTGGAAAATTGACCCTTCATTAAGCAAAAGAATACATTTTTACCGATATTGTATTATTTATACAACAAAATGTGGGTAGTTCAATTAACCGAGAATTTACTTATCTTCATTAAGCAAAGATTTATCGAGAATTACGGAAGTCTCAGAAATATATTTAAACGGGTTTTTAAATATACTTGGGCGACGAAATATGTAGGTAGACCGCATACTAAACCGCCACCCAATATTTTAATCGTAAATCGGAACTTGTTGGTAAAGTAGAACAAATAATAACAGTTATAGCACATTATTTTAGTTTATGTATTGAAATTGGAGCAAATTTGGTATAAGCATCGGTGGTTCAGTGGTAGAATGCTCGCCTGCCACGCGGGCGGCCCGGGTTCGATTCCCGGCCGATGCAGCTTTCTTTTTGAATTTTTTAACCATATTATCATTTTTTCCAATTGGTAGGTTTTCTTTGGTTGGTTGGTAATGTCTTTTTTGAAAATAAATAGAAAAAAACTCGTAAAATCCATAGGAAAAATATATTTTCGTGTTATAGCATTACATTACGAATTAACAATTTTTATTGCACAATCAAAAAACGCATTTATCAAATTATTATCTAAATTTATATCAATCAATGGTCCAATACGTCGTCTCGATCGCCCTGATTCTTCATAGCTTCATAACTCCTAATGATTTCGCGTTGTTTTTGTATCTGCAACAAAAAAATCCCCCCTTGTTATCCAACAAATTCAACACAAACCACGAAGATTAACCCACCTTATCTTCAGCAACCTTGATCGTCTTCTCGTACAACTTCTCCATCCGCTTCAGGAACACCCTGTTATCGTCCAGCGTAGCGCTAAAGTACCCGGTGATCTTCTTCGCGCACTCCTCGTTCCTCCTAATGGCATCTTCGATCTCGTCCTCCATCTTCCCCAGCGCGGCCAACACGGAGTTGTGCGTCTCCTCCAGCAGCCGCACGAAATCGTTGCGCTTCTGCTGCACCGCCTTGCTGTACTTCACGTTCACGTCCCCCCTCACCGAGTCCAAGCCGCCGGCGATGGTCGCCTGTACGGAGGCGGCGGTCTCGCGCACCGCCCGCCTGATGGCCGCCTTGCACAGCTCGTTCTCCTCCTCGAACGCGGCCTCCTCGTCGAGGACGCAGCCGTCCTCCCAGCTCATGGTGCTCAGGGTGCTCTCGTCGTCGATGGCGGACACGGAGCCGAAGAAGGAGTCCCCGATGGTGGACATGGAGCCGAAGAGTTCCTCCGCCGCCGCCGACGAGGAACAGGGCTGTTCGAAGTCGAAGATGAACTCGTCGTTGGCGACGGTGGTTTGGCGGTTGCCCTCCGGCTGGCCGGCGTCGCGGCGCTTCCCGAAGAATTTCTTGGTGAATTTGCTGCGCAGCTTCTTCAGGGCTTTGACCGAGCGCTCTTCGAGCCGGTCGATCGAGCGGGAGAGGATGGTCGACGGGCGGTCGCGTGTCTGCAATTATACAATATAATCAAAATTGAACTATTTTTTAACCTAAGGTGGAACAAACGAAATATCTACCGCTGGTGCAATTGTGATAAAAACACTTACCGTTCTTTCTGTGGAATTCGAAGGAGATTCGACGGCCAAGACTTTTCTGAATACCTCCCCGTGGCTTCTCCTCTTATTCGGCGTGGCTGCGTTTTTGACGAATTTGATGGGGTGTTTGTCGGATGTGAAGGCCGGTAGAGAAAACCGTTTGGAAATGTACGAAGCCATTTTTTTGTTTCGCAAAAACTCACAAAATTCACTGCGAACTGAACAATATCGGGAGCACTATCGGAATGAGGAGCGAATACAACCCTTGTCTTAACGGAGAGTTAATGGTGGTGGGTTGATTTCGATGGAGGGGATGGATTGGGGGTTGGGATTTGCGATCGATGGCCGATCAATGAGAGCCGAACTCCGCCAATAATCGATTAAAATGACATTAAAATTTCCGTAGCATTTTCAAATAAATACCGATCGGATTCCAATGCCCGAGTTATTAGAATACCCGGATTAGGATTAATAGTAGGTAATTGATATTATTGAGCAAAATTAAATTCCTATTATATTAGGGAATTGAAAATATTAGGTTAATTCTAAACAAATGTTAAGCAGGATGGTATTATTTTATTGTCATTAGACAATTCAATGATAACGGGATGAATTTTTCTATACACCGGTAAAGGTAATTTAATTGTTAAATTTACTGGAAACTTAAAAATATAAAATAGCGAGTCAACTTTCTTTCTTTCGCACAAAAAAACACTGTAGTTAATTGAAATTTAATTGTTAGCATTTATTAAACGGCTTGTTGAATCCTTCCTACGTTTTTTTACGAATTAACACCAACATAAACTAAAATTAATTGTAAATATTCTCAAATAATTTGTTTAGATCCTTAACAGTCCGTTAAATGGAACTTTAAGAGTATCCGTACCCACCGGGCAACGTCCGTAATATCTACAAAAAAAATATCGAAAATTAAACGCTTAACATCTCATTCAGATTTAATCTATCTGGTAATTACAACTAAATTAAAGTACGCGATGCGTTTATGACGCGCATAATTAACGTTAATTCTCGAATAAAACTACTGGTTTACGATCAAGGATTTAATCCCACCTGCAAATTTACAATCTATATTGATACTGCATCTATGAATCATACAGGAAAATGGTTGTTTGCGGTGTAGATTCAGTGTAAATTCTTAATAGATTTAGAGTTGATTCAGAGTAAATTCATAGTTCATTCATAGTAGTAGATTCAGAGTAGATCCATGGAAAATTCTGTGCTTTGTAGATTGTAGATTCAGAGCAGGTTTCAGAATAAATTCAAAGTAGATTTTAGAGTTGATTCAGAGTAAATTCTGAAAAGATCCATGGAAGATTCTGTGCTTTGTAGATTCAGAGCAGGTTTCAGAGTAAATTCATAGTAGATTTTAGAGTTGATTCAGAGTAAATTCATAGTAGTAGATTCTGAAAAGATCTATGGAAGATTCTGTGCTTTGTAGCTTGTAGATTCAAAGCAGGTTTCAGAGTAAATTCATAGTAGATTTTAGAGTTGATTCAGTTTAAATTTATAGTTCATTCATAGTAGTAGATTCCGAAAAGATCCATGGAAGATTCTGTGCTTTGTAGATTGTAGATTCAAAGCAGGTTTCAGAGTAAATTCATAGTAGATTTTAGAGTTGATTCAGAGTAAATTCATAGTTCATTCATAGTAGTAGATTCCGAAAAGATCCATGGAAGATTCTGTGCTTTGTAGATTGTAGATTCAAAGCAGGTTTCAGAGTAAATTCATAGTAGATTTTAGAGTTGATTCAGTTTAAATTTATAGTTCATTCATAGTAGTAGATTCCGAAAAGATCCATGGAAGATTCTGTGCTTTGCAAATTGTAGATTTAAAGCAGGTTTCAGAGTAAATTCATAGTTCATTCATAGTAGTAGATTCAGAGCAGATTTCAGAATAAATTCATAGTAGATTTTAGAGTTGATTCAGAGTAAATTCATAGTTCATTCATAGTTCATTCATAGTAGTAGATTCAGAGAAGATCCATGAAACATTCAGTGCTTTGTAAATTGTAGACTCAGAGCAGGTTTCAGAGTAGATTCAGAGCAGGTTTCAGAGTAAATTCAGAGCTGGTTTCAGAGTATTCAGAGTATATTCATAGTAGATTCAGAGTAAATTCAGAAGAGAGTAAACAAACAAGTAGAATAAAAAAAACAAAAAAACCTTGTTAATTAAATAGATTATACTTTATATATTACATTTATCACCCTTCTATACAATTAACCATACGATACAGTATATCCCATATTCCTCATCAACGTTTCCTTGATAGCAGGCTGCAGTTCCTTCTGCATGTAAGTCGTCAACAACGATCTGATACCTGCAAGACAACCAACAATCAATCTCGACCCCTTTACTCCAAAATTCTATCCGAACCGACCCTTCAGGAAGATGTCCTCCATTTCTCTGGACAGACCGTCGTCCTCCTCTTCGGCCTCCTGCCGGAATTCCCTCTTCAACCGGGGCTCGCAGCCGTACGCGTACACCGATATGAAGCCGGGCTCCACGAAATGCGAGTTGGTCTTCACGTTGAAATGGCCCTGTTCCCGGCGAATGGGCTCCGTGTGGAAACTGGAATTGAATCCCCAATAGCAAATCGAATGGAGTTTTGTTGGATTAACGCTCACCCGATACCGGCTTTCCTTAGTCTCAGTATCATGTTGCAAGTGTCCTCCGGCAGTGGATCGATGGGCTCCCTTTGCACCTCGGCGTCGTTGAACAAATTCACCTTGCCCATGATGGTGAGGTCGTTGAAGAGCAACCTGGTCTCCAAGCTGGTGTTCCTGGGATTGTACCGGCACCTTTCCACCCTCACCTGCGCGCGAAATTACCACCGATTAAGCACCTTTTCGAGCACCCAAAGGTGTAATTTACATCACATTTGACATGTAGAAACTTACCCAATTCCCGGTCGAAGGTAACCTGATCTTCATGTTGGTGACGTACATGTCGAACGGGGCGTTTCTGAGCTGCTGGTGCAACGAGTACCCGTCCAACGGTAGGGTTTTCCTCCTGGATATCTGGCGCCTTCGCACGTGATCCAGGGCGGTTTCCAGGCGCTCGGAGCAGCGATGGGCGTACCGCTCGCGGTCCTCCTGGTAGATGTTGTTCGAATCGGAGCCCTCTTCGAGGTAGGGAAACGGCTGGTTCGAGTACTTGTCGTTGGGTCGTGTCGGCCTGTCGTCTGTGGAAATTAATTGCCCGATGGGTAATTGGGTACCTAGACGTGTTAGGAATTCGATTTCACCGCGATTGTTCGCTATATACTTTCCACGTCTATTATATCTGTTAAGCATCTCAATTTTCCGAATCGGTACTCGTTCGAAAACGAAAGTAAAAGTATACACGGTCACGAATCTTGGAAATTGAATGGGATTCGTGCTGGAACTCTATTAGAATAGTCACGACATCGTCCGATTCTCTAAACGATGACGTAAACGTTTATAAACTATTAATTGACAGTTGTGAGATTTGGAATTTGACAGATATGATGTTTGGCATTTGACAGATTATAAATGTGCGTACGATTTCATATAGAATTGACCTTGTTGGCGTTCTAGATCTTAACATAATTAATTCTTTAATTAATTAATATTCGGAGAGAAACTGTGCGAAAAACGTTTGAAAATAGTGAATATAATAACCGATGTTGTAACGTCGACAATTAAACATTGTTCAACTTTGAACAAAAAGATAGATAGATATAGGTATGTATGTGGACGCCTACTAAGATATTGTATTATATGTATATTATGCTAATTGCGTAAAGAGTTGCAGGTACAAATACAGATTCGAATCTTAAATATTTTGACCTAGTGATGTGCAATATGGCGTGTCAAATATCATTTAACACACAATTAAACACTAATGAAAAAACATTTGCATTTCCACGATTATAAGTAAACGAATATTACATACAGGGTGTTAATTAATTGTATGCCGATACTTCAGGATGTGAATATTTGGATGATTTTAAGAAGAAAAGTTTATATCAATGTATATCCTAAACCTCTTAGTTTTCGAGCTACAGGGTGCTAAAATTTAAAAAAAAAATACTTTTCTATCATAATTTTCTTATTACGGCATATATTTTTATGAAATTTCGGACGAGGACGTCACTGATAATAGTAGATTTTTATCCAAAAAAAAGTGTTTCCATGCATGGTGGGCGCCTATCAAATTTCAACAAAATATCAAAAGCAGTCTCAAAATGAACTTGGGAAAAAATGGTTTTGGTTTTTAATTTTTTACGCGAAAATGGTGCGTCGTACGAAAGTAAGTCTTCTGACCGAATTTGTTACAAAATAAATGAGGATTTTAAAAATAATTTTAGTTTTTACAAAAAGCAGTGGTGTACCATTTTTTTTCAAACATATTCAGTTCAAACCCCGTACGGACGTCACTGGTAAAAATTTAAAAAATCTTATGCCTCAAAAAATGCTCCTTAATAATTAAAAAGTATATACAAACTTTCATAAAAATAACTGTAATAAGAAAATTATGATGAAATGAAAAGTTTTTTTTTTTTAATTTTAACACCCTGTAGCTCGAAAACTAAGAGGTTTAGGACATACTTTGATATAAACTTTTCTTCTTAAAATCAATCAAATATTCACATCCTGAAGTATCGGCATTCAATTAACTACCACCCTATATTTAACGGTAGTTTTACTAACCAAAGTTTAATGATGTTAAGAAAAGCAATGACTAACATCTACTATGTCATTAAATTGTAGTGTTCGTATTTAATTAAAGCAAACAAATAAAATCTCGTAATTAGGACGCGGTTAATTTACTGCAAGAATTCGAGTCGCCTATTGTCTATCCAGGATGTTGGGCAAGGAAGTTTGCGAAATGAATCAATTCGATTTAATACGAGGATATAATACCGCCTCAATTCCTTCATCTACAATGTTATGCAAAAAAATTAAATAAATAACAAAATTGGAGTGCTGTAAATTGCTAACGAATCGTTTTAATTAAACGATTTGTAGGTGATTGATATAAATGCTGTTGAATAAACGATTAGAATTGTACCAACAAATCGCTATATTAACATTAACTAGAAGATTGATTTAGTGTTAAATTTGCCAATTCTCGCAATAAGTCTGCTGTTGATTAAACTCTATTGGAATTGGTTAGGAAATTTTTAACGGTCCGTTAAACGGGACTTACCGGAGATGTCCTCCAAGGTGGTGGTATCGTCGTCGGCTAAAATCCCCGAAGCGAAATCCGAGCAATCCAACGCCCACAGGAACAACATCCACGTTTGCAAATACATGTCACAAATAAGGAATAGCTAAAGTACTACAATAGATAATTGCGGAGCGCAATCAGAGCGGATTTTTTCTTTCCGAAATACGAAAAAAAATGCGAGCGAAACGACGAGAGTGTTTCGAGACGACTGAATTCGATTCGAAAATAATAGGGTACTTTAATGCGAAAAACCAGGTCGCACTTTTCTATTGTACATTGTATTGTCGTCGAGCGGAGCCGGCGAAGAAGAAGAAGAAGAAGAAGAAGTCGATGGTGCGCGTTTCTTCGGTTCTTCGCCCGGGCGGAGGAATTGTCGCGAAACGCGCAAAGAAAGGAGGATGCACGGTACACGTTCCGGTTAAATTAAACCGTTCGCGCGACGATTCCGGCGAGATTAACGGGCGGTTAGGCCGGGCGCTCGGATCGATCGGGTTACATTAAGGCTAGAGTTCAGTACTCACCAAATATTTTTTTGGGAATAGGTATGTCGTAAAAATGAGATTAGAGGATTGGGGTACTTAAAATTAGCATTTTAGAATTTTAGAATATCGTAGGAATATACAGTGTGTCCACGGATAGGGTTGCCTATAGGAGAAAAATTTATATTATTCATTTTACGACAAAAAGTCATTGTTTATAAAAATTTTTGCTTCTTTTAAAAATGAGAATAACACTGAAAAATCTTAGATTGGATCTACAAGGTGTTGTCAAATTAAGAAAACATGAAAATACCTCAAGAGGGAAGTACCATTATTTTTTATTTTACACAAAATTTTTATGAAAGAAAGTTGCTTATAATCTAAAACAAAGCCTGAATACAAATTTGCAAACTTAAATTCAAATTTTGTGTGTCCCTAGATAAAGTTGACCAGGTTATTATTAATTTTACGACGAAAAGCCATTCTTTATAAAAAAATTAACTTGTCGAGAAAATGAAATTCACATATCAAAACATTAAATAAGACGTATAGGGTGTTAATAAATTAAGAAACAGGAAAAAATGTCAAGAAAGAACGAAAGAATTTTTATTATCTTACATAAAGAAAGAATTTATTTATCATCTTACATTATTATTTACAAAAAAATGCTTTTAATCTCTCTTTTAATGCTCTTTTTTATAAAGAATTACTTTTTTTTTTCGTAAAATTAATAATCATTAAAACGTCACGGAAATTTCAGCATTTTTACACACGTTTTCAAAGTACTGAACTCTAGCCTTAAAGTTGGGAGAAAATTGTTGAAATCGGGTGAAATATGCTCGAGGGTGGAGATGAGGATTAGAGATTTTTTTGTGGTAGTTTTTTGCTACTTAAGTTTTGCTTTGAAAAAGTGTAAGGTAGACTGGGGCAAATCGGTTGTAAAATTTGAATAGTTCAAATTGAATCCTAAAATGTGGCTTTATTTTTTCTCTTATTAGAAATGCTGATACCACATTAAATTCACAACTTCCTAAACTAAAGAATCGAGGTATTAAAAAGTTTTTTTGAAAAAGGAAGAAAACGATTTTACATATTTTTTAAAATGTTGACAATATGTTACATTTACCCCATGGTACGGGGTAAATGTAACAAACGGTTCTAAAATGCAATACAATTATATAGAAAAACATATGGGGCAATTGTAAAAAAATATTTGGTTCCTCTAAAATTTGATATGCTGTTTATTTATTTATTTAAAAAAAAACAGAGCTACAAAATAATAAAAAAAATAAGAAATAAACCCTGTCTAATGCACAAAAGAACTATAAAAATAATAAAAACATTAACATAATAGGTAAAAATATTCCATTTACCCCATTTTTACATTTGCCCCAGTCTACCTTAATGAAATATTTTAAAGAGGAAGAAAATTATTAAAATTTTTTGAAACGTGATTGAGGAGATTAGAGGGAATTTTTTATTTCTTTTATTCAATGAGTTTTATTTTTAGATTTAGAAGTTTTTGATTATTCCAGCGATTTTATGAAAGGAAAAGTATAGAGAAATCTAGGTAAAGGTAGGGAGAAAACTAATAAACATGATTCAGAAGATTTAATAAGTTTTTGTTTAAATATTCAAGCGATTTTATGAGTATAAAGTGTAGAGAAATCTTATAGGCATCTAAAGGTAGGAAGAAAACTAATAAACTTTAGATCAGAGGAGCTAAACTTTTGATCAATCAAGCGATTTTACGAGAGAGAAAATGTAGAGAGAAATCAATAGTAAAATTTCATTCTTTTTCAACTCATTTTATGACATTTTCTTGATCAAAACCAAACGATTAAAGCAATCGTTACGTTTTTTTGCCAGTAACTACCAGCTCATAGCGAGTACTGCGTAACAATAGGCCAGTGTTTGAGTTATTGACACAATTTATATAATCCTGTTTGCGCAATATTTTACTAATTAACGAGTCCTTAAAATACATATACGTAATAAGTGTCAAAGTATACACGTAAGGTTGTTACTGCTATGACGATATATCCGAAGGTTTTACGAAATTTCATTATTATTAACTCAATTAAAACTAAACGTTGTTAATAAATTAATTACCTATACACAGAATTTAATTAGGCATACTAGAGTAATTTTATTTATTTATAACGCGCTATTTTTATTTACCTCATTGTTTCGCATCGTTAAATTCACAAAAAACCTAAGGTCTATTTATAAATTTTAATCCCACATTATAATTAATCAATCGATTATAATTAATCAATCAATCGATACCATAACTAACCGTTAACTAACCGACCACCTTTGATTACAACAAAATTAAACCTCAACATCAAATCAATCGACTTTTATTCGACATATTCGGCTATAAAATATACAAATCTCAATATCCTCTCAAACCGTGTCCCTGTCTTCCCGAAACGTATCCAACCGAAGCATAACCGGGCACCGCCACATTTAACGGCACGTTAACCGGCACGTTAACCGGCACCGAAGTTACCACTTGAGACACCAGAGGGCGCGGATTGATGACGTCCACGCGCGACTGGGAACTCGTCGCGACCGGTACCGCGTAGGTCAGAGGCACGGCAATCGAGGCGTGCTGTGGAAAATATTTTAACCATAAAGGTAGTACTGAAAAAAGTAGTACTGCGAGGGTAGTACCGTAAGGGTAGTACCGAAAAAGGTAGTACCGTAAGGGTAGTACCGAAATTGCAAAGGTATACAGTAGATTATAAGTGAAATTGAAAGAGAACTAAGAAGGTGATAGTGAAGGTGGTACCTTACCTGAGTTAGGGCGCTTCCAGTTGAGCCCAAGTAGCCGCCGAGCGCGCCGGAATTGAGTCCGATCGAGGCCAAATTGATGCCGGCGCTCGCCATCGCGACGGCCGCTAATAGAACGATCAGTTTTTGAATCATTTCGGTTATAAATTACGCCCGTAGATGTCGAGGTGTAATTGATGGATTTCGAATTAATCGGTGCGATATTTATACAATCTAACACGGTAATTGATACTCCAATATATTACGAGATATGTGGGTACGTAAACGATAGTAAAAGTTGTTGTATAGGGTAATACAGGAATGGTTGAAATGATACCTAAGAGGAAGGACTTGAGTTCATTCAATATAAAGGTTGTTTCAATAAGAACGCAAGATTTTAAGGTTCAATAAAACACTGTCAACTGTAGCAAAATATGGAAATATTTATTAATTTATCATGTGTACATTTAGGAATTATATATAAAACAAAATATCTTGTAAATGGCCGCCACGGCTTTGCTGGCACAAGCGTACTCTTTTGATAAAATTTTCAATAACATTATTGTATACATGTAGCAGTATTTTATTGATATAGCGTCTAATTTCGGCTTTCAACGCTTCGGTGGTCGAGGGAATGTTGGCATAAACCTGTGACTACAAGTAACCCTACAGCCAGAAGTCTAAAGGTGCTAAATCACAAAAACGTGGCGGCCAATTCTGGTCACCAAACCGGGAAATGACCCGAACGAGAGTAATGTTTAACAATTAAGACGCGATTATGTTCCATATCCAGATCCATATCCAGATCCAATGCTCCATATTTACTAACTCCCAACTGTCAACTTTCGATCTGTCATGTTATAATCGTGTGTCATTATGACTGTCAAACATGACAGGCAATTCAAATATTGCGGTCTTATTGAAACACCCTTTACAAGCTTGAAGATATAACCTAAGAAGAGGTTTGATCTATTTTCCATCTCTGTTTTACCTATGATTAATGTCAAATGACGTCATGATTGATTCCTGATGGAATTGATTTATGTGAATATAGGAACAAATTGCTGGATGGTTGGAAATTTTGACGTTGACGTTGACATTGACAATTTGAATTTGAATTTTTAAATGTGAGGGAAATTATAAAAAATGGAGTTTTATTTGATTGCAAAAAATATGTTATATTCATCCGATTCATCATCAGAACCTGAAAATGAAGAGTCCTCAAATAACAGTGGCAGTGATGAGTTATTGACACTATTTTTAATAAACAAAGAAATCAATAAAACTCATGCAATATCAGATTTCGGAATCCATTTTCCAAATTGCAAAACCAACAAAACAAATTAAAAAATTTAATGCACGTTCAATGCACAACTTCAACATGGAACATCAGATCATAACCGAAACCGATCATGGAATGAAAAATATGGGTTATAATTCATCTGTCAACCAGATCCATCCTCTTCAAAATCCGATTAATCAGATGACTAATCGCTGTTTCATCGATGAGAAAAAGATCGTTGACAGATGACAAACGTTTAAAAAATCGCTGAATAAATGAACAGTTTGATGACATCGGTTGTTCAACCGCTGAATAAAAGATCACACCTAAGATGGCTCGGTCAAAATGACCGCTGACAACGAAATGACAATTCGCCGAGAAGATGGCTAGAAGCTTCCTGAAATCGAACCCGCAAATCGAAGCCGACAGGCGCCTGCTGCAGTTCGAGCGGTACGACGACTACCTGGACTCCCTGCTGACGCACCAGGACGAGTGCTTCCTGCAGAGCATCGAGGTGAGCCGGACGATCGCCGAGCTGGGTAAACGAGCAGCGGAAGCCGCCCGAGCGACGGATTTGACAGCGCCAATTTCCAGGTTACAGGAGCTCCGGTGAGACGCTGAACAAGGCGCAGTTCGAGAAGCGATTGGCGGCCGTTTGGAACTACCTGTTTCCGCCGTACAAGCCGTACGAATTGTCCAGCGAGACCATCATCGGGGAGGATTCGTTGCAGATCGATCTGGCGCTGAGGGAGCGACCTAATAGAGTCGGGATTCTGTCGACCATCATCTTCCTCAAGTACGTCACCAAGTCGGGTTTCGAGATATCCGGGTACATTGATTACGCCGAGAAATTGGCTAATGTGGATTGGAAGCCGTTCTTTAGAGGTACATTACTATTCCTAAAATAGAACCGGCAGAAACTCGTGTTAATTTCAGGTAAGAAACGAATCGTACCGAAACCGAACGATCTGGGATACTACCACTGGAAGACTGGCAAAGTGGTGAGCAACGATTCGTTGAATTACAAAGTGCACCAGGACCCTCGCAAGGGGTTGATCTTCCAGAATCGCTTCGATAGGAAGCTGATCGATCCGGCTCCGGGTCGCGATCCCGGCCCGAATTCCAGCAGGAAGCGCGTCTACTCCGATCTCTACGAGCTGGTCATACTCTTCGATCACTTCGTCAGACAGAGAATATGATACTTTTTCAATAAAGTTTTTTTGCCTACATCGACCCGGCCATTTTTCGATTTCCCAACGAGAAACCGAATCGCATCGAAACCTTACACTTACACCGACATATCTCATTACACGAGATCGCGTTGGTATATAAACCGACGCGTTCCCGACCAACTTCACCATCACCAGAAGGCCCAGCAAGATGTTAAGAGCTCTCCTTCTCGTCGCCTTGTGCTCCATGTGCTCCGCCAAGCCAGGCCACATCGCCCCAGCAGTTGGTGGAATCGTCGCAGCTGCTCCATTGCAACTCAATTCGGCCATTAGTACTCAATCCAGAGTGGATTATCGTACTCCTGTTGTGGCCTCTTCGGTTGTAGCCGCCGCTCCGGCTGTTGCAGTTGGACACGTCGGTGGAATCGGAGCTGGATATGGAGGAGTTTTGACTGGAAATGGAGCGGTTTTGACAGGAATTGGTGGAATTGGAGGTGGATACGGAGGAATTGGACTCGGTTATGGTGGAATCGGAGCTGGAAATGGTGGAATTGGACTCGGTTATGGTGGAATCGGAGCTGGAAATGGTGGTGTCGGACTCGGTTATGGTGGAATTGGAATAGGACTTGGTCATTGAGTTCGAAATTGGAAGGATATGAGCGGAAATAAGTAATAATAAATTAGTTGTAATGAGAATGTTGTTAGTTTTATTTGCCGAAATTATGAATTGTCGTCGATCAATTGTCAAACAAATGTCTTTTGAATGTCCTAAGTTGCGAGAGTAATTCAGCTACATTATCTTCAAATTGCTTGTGTAAATTACGCTTTATGTGGAATAATTCAAGCGGAAACGATTTTTCTCGGATGGTTGAGTTTGGTTGTGTCGCAATTGGTCCGAAACACAATTTTTTTTTTCGTTGTATTTTACGAGGCCTTGATCTAGGGAATTCTTTGGTTAATTCTTTGGTTAATAAGCATTTCGACCTTCCTAGTTGTGTGTATATGTGTAGTTATTATTTCTTTTTTCTTCGAGCATTTTCTTTGTTTGCGGTGAACGTTCGAAGCCTTGGAAGGCGTTCAGTTTTTACAAGAAAAAAACTGTACACATGCAATTTGGCTAAATTGAGGCTAATTTGTGGAGAAAATTTTAATCGTTCGTAGTTATTGTAGTAACATTTTGAAATGTTAACAGACATTAATTAACCTAATTCGAACAATAAACAAATTCATAATATTTCCCTATCGATTGCAAGTCGAGGTGCAATTTTTCGGGGGATACCCCGGCACTAATTTTCGCAACGTCCCGTAGACGTCGATGAATAATAAAAATATTCATCCGAGGGTCAAATCGCTGGAGCAAAACCGTCGAAAACAGCAAAAAAAATCTCTCACAACAAAGGTCTCATTTAATATATCGCAATATTATTCAAATAAAGCGACAGTGCTTGCGCAAAAGACATAAAAAAACGCGGCAGAACGCGAGCCAAGAAGCGCCTATAAATATTCGGTTAACCGGCCACTTGAATCACAACTCGATACACCATCGTTTCAACTAGATCACTCGCGCTACAACAGTGATTTTTGTAAAATTATTGTAAATATGTTGAGATTCTTCGTTGTTTTTGCTGTTATGGCCGCCGCTTACGGAGCACCCGGTATAGGACACGGCGGGTATTACGGAGGATATGCCCATATACCCGCTGCTACTAGTTACAGGTATGTGAAAAATTGTTTTTTAATATTAGGTAAATTGTTCTTTTGTAATTGAAATTTTCGATTTGTTTGTTAAGTTTTATTAGGGAATTTTTAGAAATTTTCAGCTTTGCTCATTTTTTTAAATCAGTAGATACCTGTTGTTTTGAAATTTAAATGAAAATTAGAGCAATAAATTGTACTTACTTTATCATTTTGCTTTACTGTAGGTACTTACTTAGTATTTATTTAATTTACATCCATTAGTATTAATTTTTTACACCCCATATTATCAATCAAACATTAAAAAACTCCAAAATTTCAGCTCCAGAGTGGACATCCACACTCCAGTACTGAAAACCTACGCAGCCCCAGCCTTGGTAGCGGCCCCGGTCATCTCCAAAGCCTACGTTTCCCCGGCCTTGAGCTACCACTCGGCCCCCTTGGTGTCCTCCTACGGTTACGGAGTGGGCCACGGTTTGGGCTTGGGACACGGCTTGGGATACGGCTTGGGACACGGCTACGGCGGCTACGGTCACGACTTGGGCTACGGACACGGCTGGTAAATTCCCCCAAGACCAAAGACTTTTACGGGAAACTTTAACGTGTATACCATGTGTTCATGTATTATAATGTAATTAAATAAATTATTGTTTATTCTGCGGAATTTTGTTGTTTTTTTGTGTATTTTTTGGTGAGATTTTGAGTACAATCCTGAGTACAGTCCTGTATATTTCTTTCAGTCCCCCAAGACCAAAGACTTTTACGGGAAACTTTAACGTGTATACCATGTGTTCATGTATTATAATGTAATTAAATAAATTATTGTTTATTCAGCGGAATTTTGTAGTTTTTTGGGGTGTTTTTGGTGAGATTTTGAGTACAATCCTGAGTACAGTCCTGTACATTTCTTTCAGTCCCCCAAGACCAAAGACTTTTACGGGAAACTTTAACGTGTATACCATGTGCTCATGTATTATAATGTAATTAAATAAATTATTGTTTATTCTGTGGAATTTTGTTGTTTTTTTGGGGTGTTTTTGGTGAGATTTTGAGTACAATCCTGAGTACAGTCCTGTACATTTCTTAACGTACCTACTTATTAATTGCATTTAATAAAACATGGTGGTAATAAAAAAACTACAACAAATAATAGGAATTATGTTCAAACAAATTTTCTAGTTACACACCTGTCGCTTCGGCGAAATTTAACAACAGGGCCGTTCCTAAAGATATTAAATAATTTTTAAATTCGTTCGTGAGTGAAATACTGTTACGCATCGATTTGTTAATCGATTATAAATTAACTCGATTGCAATAGAAAAAATAAATGAAGCGTCTTCAGTACGTGCACTACTTGTAAGGCTTTATTTGTACTCGTGCTGGATTCTTCGATGCATTTCGATATATTGCTAATATTTAAATGGATATTGGTAAATGTAAATGGAAATTCGCAATTAACTAACGATGCCGGTTTCGATCGAAATGCAATTTTGAAAATGCATTTCGAAATCGCCGCGTTGCTAATAAGTAGGTAATTTAATTAGTGTAATTAAAGTATATTCGAATACTACCCTGTTATTTTGAGGAGTTTCATCGAACAGGAACTTATATCTAGGAAAATTTGATTTCTTTTATACGCCAAATAGCAAATAAAATAAACTTCTAATACCCATTACCCACTAGCGAATTTATTCGAAAAATATTAAAATCGGTACAAAACGACAATGAATCGGTATTACCACCAGTAGGAAGGCCAGTACCAAGGGTTCCAGTAGGAGGCGCTGTAGCCGTAGTATCCGGGGAATCCCGCGTATAATCCCGACGGCTGGGCTCTGGGGTCCGGTTTGGGCGCCGGGACGGGCACCGGGCTCGGTAGGGCGATCGAAGTTGCCAGGGCGATCGATACCATTATCACCACAAACGCCATTAACGACTTCATTTCGGGTACTTTTGCTTTGTGTTATACGGAACGTGTCTCGGTTTGGCTGAATTAATGATGGTAAACGGGCAATCGTTGATGTATTTATAGGCGGTGTTTGAAGTATTTTTTCTGAACGTTGATTGATTATCGCAAATTATTGGTAATTTTACTTCGTGCGGGTATGAAGGTGTCCATGATCGAATTATTAACAGTGTTATCATTATGATGCAATGCTACAGTTGTTTGTTTATTGATAATTATGATGTACTAAGTTTTGTAATTACTAAGGCTTTGGAAACCTTTAATTAATTATACAAATTGCTCCATTTTTGATCGCAACGTAGGTTATATAGGCCATGGGTGCGATAAAGACAACTTCCATTAGACACTTACAAAGGAAAAGGAAAGAGTGACATTTGTGTCATTGCAACTTTTCACTCTGACAACTGTCATTTTAATAATCTGTCTTTGTTCAACTCATAGAAATGACCATGTTGCAATCGGAAATGGAGCAAGGTGTATTCATGAAATATTATGAATAATTTTCAATTTGTTAGTTCTGTACACTCTAGTCAACTGGAAAAAAAATTAAAGCAAACCAACCTTTATCACAATGAGTTCGGAGGAATTAAAATAATTTAAATTGCTTAATTTCGGTTTAAATAGATTAATTCATGGTTATATTGATTACTTTTACTCAGTTTTTCCAATGTTTTCCAGACGAAAAATTCACACACGGGCTTAACGCCTGATTAGCAAGAGGCCATTATAACGTAGACTTAGATACAAGAAGAAGAAAATGACAGGAACAAGTCGATTCAAAAACACCAAACAAAGATTACTATTATTTAGTGAAAATAATTCAGGAATAAATGGATAGTGAGTGTTTTTTAAACAAAAAAAACTCAAAATTTTCAATATATTTCCATTTCAGCTCAATTGTTATTGGAGCTGTTCATTTTGTTGATATTCCTCGTCGCGGCGAGAGCCCTATTTTTAATCCACAAAACCACCACAGGACACTCCAAATACGCCTCTAGCAAGCGAAAATCCCCCTGCAGGACGCTCGTTTGCGCCGGATCGGGGGGCCACACCACGGAAATCCTGGCTCTAATCTCCACGTTAAACCCGGAGAAATACTCGCCGAGATACTATTTCCTCTCGAACACCGACAAAACGAGCGTATCGAAGATCGAAGAGCTGGAAAAACGCTGGAAAAACTCTTCGTATACCTTAAAGAAGATACCGAGAAGCAGGAACGTGCACCAGTCCTACGTAAGTTCGATATTTACAACGGTTTACTCGATATTTTACACCGTTCCGTTGGTTCTGTGGATACAACCGGATGTGATTTTGTGCAACGGTCCGGGCACCTGCGTGCCCGTCTGTCTCGCAGGATTCCTGCTGAAATGCGCTTGCGTGAAGGACACTCGCATCGTGTTTATCGAGAGTTTTTGCAGGACTAAAAGTTTATCGTTGACCGGTAAGATTTTGGTGTATTTCGCTGATAATTTTTTAATACAATGGCCTGATTTGAAGAAGGTTATTAAAAGAGGCGATTATGTTGGGCAATTGATGTGAGGTTTCGTGTGAGTACGATAGATTTTAAATAAACGAATAGATAAATAAATAACAATTTTATTCTATTTTTTAAACAAATTTCGATGCTATTCCCAGCAATTTGGTATAATCAGCACCCTTTGAAAAGGTCTTTTCCTTTAATATAGTCCTTAATATCGTGGGTACTGGTACGTGTATCCTGGTGCCCAATGGGGTGCCATTATCGTCGATAAGAACCAAATTATTGCTATCGAATTTGGGCACTTTGGGCGCTTGATTCTGCTTCAGGCCCACCAAAATGCCCTTTTTCTTCTCTCCTTTTATCGCCACAAGAACTTTATCACCTGCAGAAATACTTGATCTTAGTTTAGGTAGCAAATAAAGGGATGTATACAGGGTGAGTCGTAAGTATTGGGATCAACGCGATTTTTCCTTTATAAATTAAACTTGCCTATTTTTCCGACTCCTGTTTTGTTATAAACGTGAATGCATTTGGGGGGTTTTCCTTCCGCCATGGCCTGCTTGCCTATTTCGCTATTATCGACCACCCTTAGCCTAGTTTGTTTTTGTATCTCGCACAGACCACTCGATAAATGGAAATTTCGGGACGTGTATTTCCTAAATTCTACATTTTTCACTACCAAATTTCTAAACATTTTGAATTATTCGTATTTTTGGTAATTGACAGATTCGTACAGGTTATGAAAATTGGGACAGAACGATAGAACACGGAATTAATACATCTGTCAATGCCTTCTTCTTCTTCTTCTTGACATTTTAATACATCAATAGACCTATTCAGTTTTACCTATGATGCGCGCGCATACTGTGGATAATTAACTGTTTTATTTTTTTAGTATTATTTAGTATAATTTTTTATATAGGTAAGTTATTTATAAAATTTCTTATAAAATAATATACATAACATATAAAAACTATTTTGTTTTGTTAGGACCATGCCGCAAACGTGTTGTGTGTTAAGATTGACAATTCGGAGCGGGCTAACGCGCACGCCCCAATAACGTCAAATTCGGTGTTCTGGCAGCGTCAAAAACTGTGCATCGTTGCCAGACTGTGTAAATTGTTATTTTATTAAAAATTTAAAGTATATTAACAAATTTCACACATAATTCTATAGATAACACCGCTTGGAAGGAAAATTAATTATTATACCAGGGTACAATAAATCAAACAACACCTACAAGAACAGTTTTATTTGCTAGTTATTGCTAGATTCACGGCCCCACGCCCCGACAATCTCTATAATCGTATAATCTCTACTCTAGATTATCTCTTTATTATTAAAAAATACGTAACGGCAGAAGATGAAGAACTGACTGATTTCTCTTTCTTTTGCTTTCGTTAAAAAAAAAGAGATGAAACAACTATTGTTAGAATTACCAATTACAAAACCTTAAAATTGAACAGAAAAAAGAAGAAGCATGAACAGTTGAAATTTAAATTTTGAAAAAAAAGGGGGAAAAGTTGTTTTCCGGTCGTTTTGCAAAATTTTGCGTCACTTTTTTGCGAACATGGCGAACATACCACGAGCCCCGACTGTCTTAGTGGATCCAGTGGAAATAATGGATCTCCCTGCAATACGGCTAGAAAGAACACCTCTAGAGCGGCTGCAGCAGGGGGATCCATTAGTAGTAATGCAGTGGCTGGCGAGAAGGCGTCTTCTGAGCAATTCTCGGCAGTGCGAAGCCTGTCACGTAAGTTTTGTTAACCAAATATTATTGTTTTATAATTGTGCACATGCTTTATAATTGTAATTTGTAGATCCCTATGTCACGAAGAAGAAGAGACGGGGGGTGACGGCTTCGTCTGGAAGTGCAGGCTATGCAACGCCCAAATCGCCATCAGGAGGGACAGCTTTTTTGCACGTAGTAATTTAAAGCTGTCCCAATTGTTGGTGATTTTGTACGGGTGGAGTATGGACCTGGCTCAGAAGGACATAGCTGTGATTGCAGGGGTCAACAAAACCACAACGATGGTCGATTGGTGCAACTTTTGCAGAGATGTATGCCAGAGTCATTTTAACCTTCATGAGGTATTCATCGGGGGTTTCAATGACGATGGCTCTTCAAAAGTTGTAGAAATCGACGAATCGTACTTCTTCAAAAGGAAGTACAACCGGGGAGCAGTGCGCCCCGGTCGTTGGGTTTTTGGTGGCATCGAAAGAGAATCCAAGAAATGCTTCCTGGTAGAAGTGCCGGACAGGACCCAGGAAACATTGTCGGCACTCATCGTTCAGTAAGTCTTTATAAATTACTGTATTCGTAATATTCGAAGAACATTAGACGTAGTGAAATAGTTTAACATTTATCTAAGCTTATGTAGTGTAGATATTATCTTTATGCTTGTAACAATTCCTATTGCAGATTCTTTCATCTCAATTTTATTTGATTTGATTAGTTTTTGATTATTATTTTTGTTTTTAGGAAGATTCTACCAGGAACAACAATAATTTCTGATGGTTGGAGGGCATATAACAATATCGGTATGCTCGGTAACGGTGTATATGACCATCGGGTTATCATACATGAGGAGTTTTTTGTCGACCCTAATGATCCCGATGTTCATACGCAAAATATCGAGAACATGTGGATGCTGGCAAAGCGGAAACTGAAGAGGCAATTTGGCACTTCTGCAGAACTATTTCCGTCCTACTTGTCAGAGTTTCAATGGCGCAACAATTTAAAGGGCGGAAATATGTTTTCGGAATTGTTGAGTTGCATCGCCGAACAGTATCCGCTTTGATCGCATCGACATGTTCGTACCGATGTTGTTGTTATAGTACTTCCAACTTGAAGAAATTATTTTTTCTGGATTCTCTTTCACCCTGCAATCATCGCCAGCCACTTTCCATTGGGTCCATTGGGTTAATTTCGAGGTTTTTGAATTGTTTTTTTTTTTTACTAATGCCCGGTTTCTCGACCTTTTGCGTTTAACGTTATAGTTGTTGCATACTTAAACTTAGAAATTTCTTAAAATTAAATCTTTCTTAAATTACTTAAAATTTCGAGTAGAGAAACCCGTTTCCGAAGGTTAACTGGAGTTTATTGAAAAGTTAGAGTTAGCTTGTAATTATCTCAGAGTCGAGAAACCGGGGCATTAGTGGTTTATAAGCCGTGTGCATTCACTTGAGCAAATTTTCGTTCAAAATAATTTTACCTACACGAACGTGTGTGCGGGTAAGAATTTTTACACGCACAATTATCTCGTTTGTTTGCTATCCACAACTTCTTTGATGGTTTTCAAAAAATCTACAATTATCGGAAAGCGTTCGTATGGGTAACGGAATATTTCATTTCCTCGAAATTAAATATAGTAAGCGGTTGTAAAAAGCATTATTTAAGGTAATAGTATTGTTTGTTATTGAATGCACTATTTTGTTAATATTGTTTGTCATTGCATGTACTATTTTGTTAATTGCGGTGTTGGTAAATTCAAAGTTTGTTTGGTATTTGTTATTTGAATGATAGTTTTACATTATTGTTAGTTGGTGTTGGTAAATTCAAAGTTTGTTTGATATTTGTTATTTGAATGATAGTTTTACATTATTGTTAGTTGGTGTTGGTAAATTCAAAGTTTGTTTGATATTTGTTATTTGAATGATAGTATATTTGAATTTTGTTTTATATTTGTTAATTGGTGTTGGATATTTCCCACTCTCTATATTTTGTACTTAATAATCATTGCTTTGGTCATTTTATTCTGTTTGTTAGTCCTGAATTGTTAAATCAGTTGGTAAAGGGCTTTTATGAATCATTTATCATGCATGATTCATTCATTATATGTACATATATTTCGTTTAACCATATTTGGTTACAAGATGTATTAATTCAGCTTTGCTAGTGGCAATGTATACATTATTTGCTAGTTCACGCGCTTCTTAAAGCACATAATTTTGATGGACAGCATCGTTAACGATGACATTGCTACAAATACAGCTTGCTTATTTGCATATAACATTTGCACTTTTCACCACAGCATATCTTTAAATTCAGCTTTTTGCTGTAAAAAGAATGCGTGGTACGTATTACAGTGGACAGTGTCTAACCGAAAATAATGGTACGAGTTCGTAGTCGCATTAGGAATGCGTAAGCCTATATATACATTCAACAATTGGACAACAAATTGAATATGTACTGAAAAATATGAAAATAAACAGCAATAATTTTTTTTTTGTTTTCCTTCTCCTTTAATATTCCTTTTTTGATTTGAACTTCGAAAATAGGTAACACAATTTCTAGGAATATCGGGTGTAAACACTTACACTATCAAACAGGTAAATATAATAATTATTTAATATGATTATTAAAATGATTTTACAAAAGATTCAAATTACATAAATGACGTTCAATATTTTATTAAAGTTTGGACTAAAAAATATAAACCTACCCTGCACCTACCCTACCCTCATCTAACCTCCGCTACCCCCTACCCTACGCAACGCTATCCTACCCTACATTGCCCATTTCAACCCTCTACCAACCCCTCACTCCCTCTTTCTACCTTCATGTATCCCCCGCTAACCCCTTTTACGCCCCCGCTGCCGTACACTACTCCTACCTACCCCCACTCCCCCTTTCTAGACTGCCCTGACTATACTCTTCTACCTACTGCACCCTTCGCTACCATCATAGACAAAATAAAAGACATCTTTCTTTCTCTATGGCTACCATCTTCTACCCCTCCCAACCCCTGCTACTATCCTCTACCTCTACATACCTTCTACTACACAACCCTTCTTACCTCCTTCTTTCCTTCATACCCCCTTCTACACTATTATACTCCTCCCTACCTTCTCCTACCCTCTTTTACCTCAGTCTACCCTACTATACCTACGTACCAAGCATCTACATTTTTTTAATAAATTACTTTATTACTAAAGTATTTACGAAGTTTATTACTACTATTAGCTATTTTTTATTTAGCAATGTTAATTACTATAATAATAATTATTTATTTTCTAACTAAAATCTAAAACAAATATTTCTGTCCATTGACTGAAATTAAATACACGTTGGCAACGATGCACAGTTTTTG